CATACCACCATGAGATTTGAACCCAAGATCTCTTAGTCAATTAGATGAGTTCCTTACCAACCAAGCTAGAGTCATTTTTGTTACAATTTCACTTAACCTTTTATACGTGACATTTGGCAGAGCTAAAGCGCGACATGTGGCAGAGCTGATGTGTCACCCTTTTAGACAAATCAGTCGGTCGAACCGGTCGGACCAGTTTTTTTTTTTTTTGCAGTTTTTTTCCAAAAGCATACCACCATGAGATTTAAACCCAATATCTCTTAGTCAATTAGATGAGTTCCTTACCAACCAAGCTAGAGTCATTTTTGTTACAATTTCACTTAACCTTTTATAATATTTCATAATTAAAAAAGGATTGTATAAAAATTTCTTTTTAGTTATAAACAATATAATCCTTTAAAATTTTATATATTATGATATGACTCGACTATCTTTTATATCCTTTATATATAAAAAAGGAGAGTTGAACTCTTAGAATCGCGACATTTGGCATGCTGACTGGGATTTTTTTGACACTTCATCAGCTATGTCATCAAAATGGACTTCCTCAATATTTCAAACGGGTTGGATAATGATTCATTTATTTGGGCGACTCTATTTGTGAGACTGTGACTTTCATCCGCAACTCTCAACGCAAGAAGGAAACGAGATATCAGCGAACATGTGGAACTTTCCTTCGATTGCACCTTCCTACGATAATCATCTTCGAACGGCTCCACTGCGAGATATCAACAAAGATGTGATTGGAACTTTCCTTCAATTGCTCCTCCCTACGAAACTTGCCATATTATGACAATAAGGGCTACAATGCTATAAAACTTTCCTTCAATTCCTTTAAAACTTATATTGACACTTGACCTCAAAACTAATAAAAGTTTCTCTTTATTCACAAGTCACAACATAACATATAATGATATATTAGATACTCACTTCACCTCTATATCAATCTCACATACATTTAATATAATACTCCGTATTTAAAACTAGATCAAAATATTTATTGTCGAGCTTGACAATAATTTTTAGAAAAAAAGAAAAAATTGAACAGAAATAGATTATTAGTTAATTTACAATATATTTTTTTCAGTGTAAATTTTAACTTAGTGGAGATTTAAAAAAGTAAATTCTTTTTTTAAAGAAAAGAGTAAAATTTTAATAATGATAAGTTTATGTTTAAAACTATTTTCATAAAAATAGAATATTTTTAGATTAGCCAAATATATAAATATAATCAACACAAAACATTTAGGAAAAATATACAATTTTTATCTTTCCCTTTATGTATAAAATGAGACTCGGGTAACACGTGACTTACTAACTTAAAATGGACAATTATTTATGGTTTAAAATTAAATTTTATTATTTTTAATTATCTATTATGATATGATATTTTTAATTGAAAAATAGAGTACAATTCAACAACAAGTGTGTCGCCACGACATATTATGTTTAGACAAACATTCTTTACGATTTTAGCATTATTGAGTTAATTTAATTATGGAATAAAGGTCATCGCTTTAATTAGAATATATTTTATAATTTTATATTTTTTCAATTCATTTATAATAAAAATTTTATTGAATAAATAAAATATCCTTCCTTAATAAAAGATATTTTCTTAACCTCTAAAAATTCATATTTGTTTATAACATGCTTAAATGAAGGTAGTTTTTATTATTT